TAATTCTGCCCTAAAACTTCTATCAGAAAGCAATGGTCAAATTATTACTAACCATAAGTGTTATGGAATAAATGAGAGCATATCTCTAGGAACATTAATGCATTTTTAACTTGAAATTCTCCAAACTGGTTGGTTTCTTTCAAACTTTGATTTTGTGATATTTTAATCTAGAAACTGAACTCTGGATTGAAGCTTTCTTTACCTTACTCGAAATTTTTATTTTAAAATTTGGAGGGGGTAAATAAAACTACTAGTAAAGCCTCCAGTATTCTCAGGTCCAGAACTTCCTTTATTTTTATTGTTTCAACTTCAATTCATCTGGGAAATTTGGGGGGCATTTGTCACTTACATAAGAAAGTCAAAAGATCAAATCTTTGAGAAGCTAAATATTGTACATAATTTCTTTTCAAAGTCAATATATCACTTTACCTTAATGATATTATTCTTTTCAAATGAAGTATGTAATTCAGAATATAATCATACAATAAAATCTACGCAATCATTAAAATCACTTAGTCCAGCGGTTCTCAACCTTCCTAATGCCACAACCCCTTAATACAGGTTCCTCATGTTGTGGTGACCCCCAACCATAAAATTATTTTCATTGCTACTCTATAACTGTAATTTTGCTACTGTTATGAATCATAATGTAAACATTTTTGTTTTCCGATGTTCTTAGTGAAAGGGTCGTTCGACCCCCAAAGGGGTCGTGACCCACAGGTTGAGAACCGCTGACTTAGTCACAAGACAGGTCTTCATGTGAGATATACAATTTTAGTTAAAAAAGTCTACAAAACAGATGGCATTTTCATTTAAACATATATATGCACAGAAAAGTATATAAAAATATTTATAAGTTATTTTTAATGACCTGCCAGAACAGTAATTGCTTTTGCTCTTTGTGTGTCTGTAAATCTTCAGTCTTCTGCACTGAGCATATACAATTATAACATATGTAATTATTTAAAAAGTAATCATCATTAAAAATACTACCTTCTCCAAGCATTCAGAAGACTCTCTTTTCTAAATAACCCCATTGGTGTGACTGATGGCAGAGATGCCAAAGAATAATGCTATGTCACTAAACCTATGTTTGTGAATTTCCTGGTAGGTGTTCTCCCAAAATGTTTTATTATTTACCAGGTATCTGAACCCACATCAGATAAATTTTGAGATTATTTTAACTAATATGTTAAGGAAAATTTTAAGAATAAAAATCTTATTATCTGAGAAGTCCCTAATAGAATTTCTCTTTTTACAAATGCTTTGAAAATCCAAAGCTTTTTTTATATATATATTCATAGGTTAACTGGCATAATAAAATGCTGGTCTGATAATCCTATGTATGAAATCAACCTCAGAAAATTAAGTGTTCTTCATGCTTTTTCATGACTTTCAATTCTCTTCTGCTTTATACTTTTTACTTATTCTAAATATTTTGCAAAAGCCTTCTTATCAGAGGACAGGGAGAGATTAAAAAGGTAGGCTAGAATGAGATAAAGTTAGCTCAGTTTATAAAACTGTGTTGTTACTCATGCTGTAAATATTGGCATGGACATCAGAGCCAATAAAACTTAATGAACAACATATATAACAACCATACTAACTTCTCTTATTAATTTTCAGGTAATTCCAAATTCATGAGTGAACAATGGTCTAGCAGCTTAATTTAATTTAAATCTTTATTGAAAACTATTTTGGTGTCCTTGGATATTAAAATATAACAATAAAAGAAAGTCCCTAGTTAGAAAGCTCATAAAATAATAAGACAGTGTACCACATATAAAATTCATTAAGTTTGCTATATGATTGCTCATTTTTTTGCATACACTCAATTCAAAGAGAAGAGTATCTATTTCACTGTGGGGAGTTAACTACCCACAGATACTTCAGAGGAATCCCCATGAGGTTTTCAAAGGAGAAATGGAAAGAGAGCAGAAAAGAACCGATTAACATGGATTCCCTAGTTACCATAAGGATTAAAGGCTCATGACTATTATTTCAAAAATAAAAAAAAAATTAGGAAACAAATTGGGGACCTGAGACCATCTCTCATAGAAAATTCAAATCAATTCTTGAAGTCCTGATTAGCAGTAATGATACTATCTGTTTAAAAAATAAAAATGTCCTAATAATATTTAACTTTGAAAGCTAATCTATACAACTTCTCTTTTCTGATTTCTGATTTAAATCAGGAAAACTGGAACAGTTAAATCAGAATTAGTTATAAATTTCATTTCAATGAAACATCATATATATTCAATATTTAAGGAACAGATATATAGAATCAACAAGATTTAGAGCTATATTAAACACACACACAGAACCCCTACAATGTTTACTAACCTCCATGCAATAAGATTTAAAGCTATACTACACACATACATACCACAACACAATGTCTATTAACTTCAATATAATGTATAACTTCAGGTCATCAAATCGATGCCAAACTGGTACTGATATTTTATCTATCCTGGGCAGTCATGCTTAGGACTAAAAGGGACCAAGAAGCTGGATATTCCGAAGTGCCCTAAGATGCACTATTCTCATATCACCTTCAAAACACCTATAGACAGGCTGGCCGAGTGGCTCAGTTGGTTAAGAGCTCACTTAAGAGTGCGAGCTCTGAGCAACAGGGTTGCCAGTTTGATTCCCAGCCCGAGCTGAGCTTCCCCTGAGCTGCCAACAGGTGGCAGGGTGGCTCAGCTAAAACAAACAAACAAAAAACACCTATAGACAGTGATGTGGAACTATAGTAGGGTGATGACTATGTTTCTTACATATAAATGCAAGATGACAAGAAAACACAGAAATGAAAAAGAGTGTTGTTTTAGAGTTGGCCTACTGCTACAAATTGATCTTGGACCAACTTGCAACAAATAACCTAAATGAAAATGAAGTCTTAAACCACCACCAACAAACTGACAGTTTCTGCTAAAATCTATTAAATAAGCACAAACCAATATCAGCAGAAATTGAATTCCAAGGACTAGACAAAAAGTCAAAAAAAGCACTGGATGTAAAAGGTTTATAAGACAGGGTGGCAAGTATGAGATATGGACTCATCACAAATGTGCACTTAGCTTCCTGAACAATTTCATTTGTATCATGTATGAATTGATTAAAATTAATGACAATTCTAAACTCTATATTCAGTAGAGAAATGACACAATTCTAATAAGCTCAACACATATGACAAATAGAATGGCAGTATGCCCAGAGAAATATATAGCGAGCTTAAGTTCATCAAGTGAAAGCCTGGGGCCAGAAGAAAGGCTAAGCAGCTGCTATAGAGCAGAAGAGGTCAGCAAACTATGGCCCAATCACTGTTTTCATAGAGCCCGTGAACTAAGAATTGACTTTACAGGTAATCATTTGCAATCAATTTTATGATAGGGAATACTAACTTTGAACCCAACTAAGAGAAATGTGAGAGCTCCCCCGCCAAGAACTCCATTCCAGTAATTAGACATTTATATTCAGTTATTATATTTTGAATTTCATCAATGAAAAATCTATAGAAATTTGTTTTCTCTTTTGCTATATATCTCTACGATATTCTTGATTTGCATTTAGTCTACAGAGCCCAAAATATTTTATCTAGCCCTTTACAGAAAAAGTTTGCCAACCCCTGTATCAGAATATTAATTTGAATAATGGGGAATACATAGGCTTTGGGAAACAAAAAGATCAAAATGTTTGAATTTAGATCTGAATGTAGTGTGGGAATCAGAAAGGAAGTAGATCTGTTAAAACTAAAAGATGGTTACCAAAAAAAAAACAAAAACGCAAAAACCAAAAAAACTACAGATACCTTAGTGGTCTCAGGTGCACACCATAAGAAATTACATGGATAGTAAGGGAGATTGTTGATCACACACTGATCTTTTCAACCACACTTGCACACACTGATACCTAACAAAAGCACCTTATTAAAACTAACATATTTTTATAGAATGAAGTACAAGGATTTTAAAATAACTTAATCACAGTCCTGTGTACAACTGGTAAAAGCTACCGAGGAGTTATGGCTCAGTACAACAAAAACTAAATTCAAGCTGTCCAGATACAGAACAGGCTGCATTCCCAAGTAGTCATCTGATGGCTGGCAGTGTTCAAGGAAACACTGGAAAACCATCTGTCAAGAACATAACTAAGAAAGTTCTTACACTGGTTGGAGGATTAAACTACATGACCTCTAAGGAGATTTTCAATTTCACACTTCTATGAAACATTTGGAAAATCAAGAATAAAGCCCTCCAAATAGTAGGTGTTGTTGCTTTGGCCAAACTATAACCTTGTGTGAACCAATGTAATGGTCTAAATGTACAGACATTAGAAATTTTTTTTAAAAAGGTGGGAACTTCTTTAAGATCTGAAATACTAAAAACTTTTAAAAATTACATTTAAAAACTCAATTAAAATCTCACCCCCACCATTCTTAAGGGACAATATTAATAGATAATAATATTTTGAATCTGGTGTTGTTATTAAAAGTACTGACAGGCCTAATAAATAAAATAATATTAAACTGATGAGTAAAAATTCTGTTTCTATAAGTGATGTACTCATACATATATTCATTCTTCCATTTTATAAATATCAATATATTAACTAAATGCAACCATTTCCTACATGCTCAGCAAAATATTAGAAACAGAGTACATGGTGAGCAAAAACAGACATAGTTTGTGCTTTTATTCAGTTTATATACATTTTAGTGATCTTACAGTTTTAAGTACTATAAATAATAGATGTATCCTTTTTTCCATCAGATATGCAAAATGGCTTTTCCAGGATCATACAACAGAAGAATACGTAACTCAATTAGGAACCGAAATGCTGTGTTCTTACACTTCCTCTATAGCTAAGTTTGCTATGTGATCTTGGATCACTGTCTCCATTTTTAAGTTTTTCATGGAGGTGTGTGTGATATGCATTTGTAGAATAGTAACAAAATGCCTTACAGTTCAAAAATTCCAATTCAATCTTCTCACCTTGATTATTTCCACCAACTGATCCACACCACTGTCCCCTGGAAATATTGGTTGTCCTAACAACAGCTCAGCCAGCACACAGCCTGCAGACCATACGTCTGAAGAGAAAAGAAAACAAAGTCTCAATTATACTGTGTAGCTTAAGGTGAATTGAAAAATATTTGTATACATTTTCTAATTTCACTTTGATCACAGAATAAATATCAAAAGCAAAAGATTGTACAATCCAGAACAGAGGAAAAAAAGTCATCAAACTATTCCTAATGCATTTTAAAATTAAGTGTTAAACTTAATGAAAGAGGAAACAAGGCTAATAATCACATTCAAATAAAAGGCAAAGTCTCAGGTGACCGGTTAGCTCAGGTGGTTAGAGCGCAGGCTCATAACACCAAGGTTGCCGGTTCAATTCCCATATGGGCCAAGGAGCTGTGCCCTCCACAACTAGATTAAAGCAACTAGTTGACCTGGAGCTGATGGGTCCTGGAAAAACACACTGTTCCCTAATAAAATTTCTAAAACAAAAAACAAACAAAAAGGTAAAGTCTATTTGATTATCAAATATCAGGTTCAAGTCTTCAACAACCAAGACAGGGGAGTATACTACCAAAACATAGGGCATAATTATCTACTTATCATGCTTAAAAATAAAGTGACACATTAGCAGGTGCTAACAGAGTAGCAACCACCAAGGGCTCAATCTCCTGAACACAGAGTTTTAAGCCAACGCAAATTCTGAAAAAATTTTTAGACTTCAAATGGTTGACTTTTATGTGATAATATGGACAGGAAAATGTGCTTAAATATATAATTTTTAAATGCAAAGATAGAATACACTTTATTTCACAAATTAGAAAATTCCCTTTTAAGTCAAGGTGGAAACTTCAATCCCTGAGGGAAAAACTTTAAAAAATACTTAATAAATTTTAATAATGTATAAATGAATTTAATTAATAAATTAAAAAATAATTTAAAGTATACATCCTGGCTTATCAAAATCATCCTGGTTTAGATCTATTGTTCTAGGATAATTACTAATTGCACCCCCTTTCTCCTTTAATAGTATTACCAAACAGGAAGATAAATTATATGCTTACTCTATTTATAGCCCATCATTAAGATTTCCTGAAAGGAAAAGCTAATTTTCAGTTTCTGGATGCCTGAGGTTGCTGGGTTTTGTATGAACCAACAATCAAGTGCTTTAGGGAGATAAACATAAATTATTGCTGGGCATTCCTATCTAACAGTAGGGAAGGAGAACAATGGAATGGCATGGGGATGGACAGCAAATAATTTAAGAGGTCTGGTGTGGTGACATGACTCTTAAGAGGAAGTACAAATCGCTGTTCCAGTGACTACTATTTACTAGCCTAGAAAAATAATGACACAAACTTCATTTAAGAAATTCAAGTCAATTTTGTCCAATTCCAAATAATGACAACCAAGACACCTATTTTGCAAACATAGACCAAAAAAGCCCTCCTTGATATGTTAGGTAATTGCTAAATGAAACAAATATGAAAATCTACTAGGAAATCTTTACTCAAAGCCAATAGTAACATTAACTCTTAAAATCAAGTGGAAAAGATATATCTCCTTATTAATGTAAATGCTTTATTTTGATCTAGGTTTTAAAATGTCCCTTTACCTAGCTAAATATATGAAAGGTAATATGTATGCACTCACTTCTTTCCTTTATAATACAGAATAATTCATCTCAGAAGACAAGTCTGGAAAAATTGCAGGGGAATAATTACATTTTCATAAAAAAGGCATGGTAAACACTATCCTAGGCAGGATTCAAGTTACAAATATGGGAGACAGGAGTAAAATATTAAGGAATACTATTGCTTAGTGGTTGCCACAGGAAATTACTAATCAAGTGGCAACTATACTAGTGGTCTTCAGTACATGTTAACTCAGGCAAATTACTAAAACCAAGATATTTATCATTCATTTTTCTGAGAGGTACCAAAATCTGTTCTTACCTCACAGGACAAATGGATGATATTCTCCAAACAGAATAAAACAGAACAGAAGGCACAATAAAATAAGTGCTCTGGCACACTGAATTTTCTGGTTATTTGGGGTTTAAGTGAAAATAGTATGCTTTTTCCCACTTAACTAATTCATGGTAAAAGCAACCTTTCAAGACCAACTAGTTTAACACACTTCACAGATAAGGAAATTAAGGCATAATAAAGTTCAGTGACTTGTCCAAAGTGATGCTACTGAATAGCAGTAGGCCTGAAACCTAATTTCAATTTCCAGTCAAGACCACTGTCTTGAATAACAGCCTCACTATCACAGAAAAACTGTTTCTTCAAGGGTCTGTAAGCTCGATTCCTGATCCTAAAGCAGTTGTTTCTCACTCTGCCATTTCTCAGTAAGACAATATAACAGGGCCATCAGTCTTACCTCTGGTTATATCCAAATATGATAATGATCTAGCCAGAACCAACTACTCTTTCACTTCAAAATCATTGTTAAAATTTTCTAAAATGTACCTGTTTTAGTACACTTTTAAATACCTTTGTTTTCATCTATTTACAAATCTTCCAGAGTCTTCAGAGGCAAGTATCCTAAATCTAAAGAGGGAGGCCAAATCTAGGCTCGTTGGGGTTCAAAAGGCCCCAGACTTAAATCAGTGGCACATGGTGAGTCCTATGCTGAGAGAGTCAGAAGTCAGAATCTGGCCTTAGCCATGCAAAGGAGGCTACTGGAAAGCAGCTGTTCGTAACACCCAGAGAATTGGTTCCTATCTGATAAAACAGACTACACTGTCATCCTTTTGTAAGAAGATTCCAAAGAACTGCTAGGCACATGGACATTTATTGAAGTAATGCACTCTTAAGAGGGTCAAAGGTTTATATAAACATGCCTTAATGTGTCAGATGACGTGGTCATAACTTTTTTAAAAGAAGCAAACTGCATTTACTTAGGCACAACTCATCCCAGTATCTGGTATGCAGATGATCAGTAGCATGTATTTGAATAAAATATAAAGCAGCTGGAAAATCAATGACATCTCTAAAGATAAAGGGCTGAAATGTGCTCTTGGAGAGAGTCAAGTTAATATGTACCTCAAAAAGAATACTACACCTTACATTCTACTGTACTTTTCACTAACATTTTAATGATTTAATCCTCACAGCCACTCAGAAAGGTAGGCAGAACTATTAGTAATGTCCACTTTACAGCTTAGTTAAGTAGTAATAAACCTGGAACTCTTATTTATCCCTTAACATTGCCAAATAATGTAGCCATGATGAAACTTGGAGCATTACACACACACACACACACACACACACACACACACACTCACTCACTCACTCACTCACTCACTCACTCACTCACTCACTCACTCACTCTTATACTCTCTATCCTCCAGTGCTACAAGTCTCAAGTATGGTCTGCAGAGCCCTGAGCCTGCTGAACCTTTCCAGAGTTCCTGAAAGCAAAACTATTTTTATAAGAATACTAAGATGTTATCTGCCTTTTTCACTGTGTTCACAATTGCACTGGTAGTACAAAAGAAATGGTGGATAAAACTTCTGGCCCCTTGGCATAATAAACATGGAAATGCATTTCTGTTTAGAGGTCTTTGTTCATCAGAGAATTTCTACTTGTATCAAAAAAACAAAAATTGTACAAGTTCTGATTATTCTTAGTTTTCTGTTACTGAGGCTTTGTTGTTGTTTGTTTGCTTGGTATTTGTATGCTTTAGTTTCTGTTTGGACTAAGGAATTCTCTTCAGAAATAATATACAACAAAATAATTTTGACCTCCACTCACACCTAGCCTAAGGTTGCACCTCCTTTCTTAGCTTCCTATTCATGTCTAGCTGATCATACCCTTTGAATTCACTCCTGCTAGTGGGCAAAAATGGGGTAGAAGAGGTCAATGAAGATTGAAGCAAATTGTCTGTATTCAATTTCTTCTATCACTAAAGATCTTTCATGAAGACTTCTCTAGAATCGTGGGTTTAGCCAGACTACTAATGAAAAAGTCAGAAGTGTTTTTTTTTTTAGCTTGAATTAAAATTAAGTAACCAATTGAGACAGCACAGTAAGAATGTCAAAATATGGTCATTCTATTACTTTCACCATAAACTTAATGAATGGAAATTCTCAAACTGGTGATCAAGCTCAGAAGTGAGTATTTCAGGAAAATTAAAATTTAAAAAAAAGAAAGAAAATTATACTTAGGATTTATTTGAAAGTTTAAGTTAAAAACAAATGTAACCATAATGATATCATGCACTCACAAAGGAATAGATTTATTATTCTAATAATCCAAGAAACCTAAAAATAGGTAAATAAATGTTAAGTTCTACAAGATAAAACTGAAAACATTCTATACATTTTTGCATGTCAATCTTTAAGAAGAAAAATATTTTAGGGCATACCTATTTTTATATTTAAGTTAAAGTATAGATTAGTAATAGTAAATTACTAAAAACAAGATTAAGTGGTTAATTACAAGCCATCACACTCAGATTCAGTACTTACCTATACTAGAGGTATAATCAGTGGCTCCAAAGATCAACTCTGGGGCCCTATAGTACCGAGAACAGATATACGAAACATTGGGTTCTCCTCGGACCAGCTGCTTTGCACTAATAAAAAATAAAAATAAAAAGCAGAAATTCTTTTTAACTAAATCTAAACCTTAAGAAATCCTAAACAGCTATCATTCACAACACTGAATGTTTATCTAAGATTCATATAATTCCAATCACATAACATATGAAAAAGAAAATGTGAACCATAACTATCTGACGAAAGGAACATAATTTTAACATAACATTAATTTAAAAAATAACAGTAATTTTTAAAGACTGCATTTCTTAACTGTCACCTAAGGAAAAAGATAAAAAGTCACAAAAGGATAAACGCTGGATTTCTTCTGATCTTTGGTTCCCTAAATTCCATCTCTAAAATACAAAGAAGGGCAAAAAAGTAAGAGGTACCTCTCCCCATCGAAAGGCACAATAATAGATTATAACATAAGAATGAATACTTTTTACCCAATTTTTTTAAGGGTAAGAAATTGTCCACTCTTTTATAATTTGACTTCTGACTCAGAATGAATATCAAGGCTTACAGACCCAATCTACTTCACTTCCCCACCATCTCTATGAATTTTTTAACTCTCTAAACATCCACTACCCAATAAAAAAGATAGGCTCACTCCTTTAGGGCAGAGATGATTCAGAGCTTATGAATCTAACTCTGTTGTCCTAAGTTCAATTACATGTTTTTTAGTCCAATTTTCCTTCCAAAACTTTGTGGTATGTATTTTAAATATTAAAATAAATTAAAATTAGTTTCTTTTAAGATGTCTTTCAAGATAACTTGAAGACACACTGAAATAAACTGATGTAGAAGCTATTTTGACATATAACAATAGCAAAGATAAATACAGGAAGTGAATACAAACACCAAAATAAAAATAAAAATGTAAATAACATGGGAAGGTAAAAAATTTGGGGGGTAAAGGTACAGGAAAATCAGAGTAGAGATGGATGAAAGTGGTCACAAGGGTTTCAAAGTTTGGGCTTTCTTTTCTTCCATTTAGTTCTGGTCCATAACTCTGACCTTAACCTCTTTTTTTATCATCACAAGTTTTGAGGGTGGGAGACAGTTTATTTTTTAACATTCTCCACAAGTACTGACACACAGCAACCATTTCATAAATTAATAAATATTAATCCCTGTTTTTAAGCCACATGAAAGTTAAGATACTTTTACAGCATAACTGAAAAAACCTTTCTAACTTACGAAGGATTTTTTTCATTAACAAGACAAACTCCAATTATATAGTCAGAAATTCACTATAAGATAAAGAAGGTAATACTGGAAACTCTGAAGCCTATAGGTTTCTTCACTACTTGATGGAGTTGCCTTCTTTCACTTCAGGTGAGTCTGGCTGTAACTTCCTGCCTTTTGAGGGTTGAGAGCATCTAATATCGTCATCACATAGAGTTCTAAGAAAGCCCAACTAGTCCCTCACTTACTTCCAGGCCCTATTTCATCCGGTAAAAATGTACTGACAAGACAGTAATACTGTTTTCTTCAAGTCACCATCAGCCTGGCACTAAGGATCTAAAGTATATCCCAAACTAACTGTTTAAAACCAAAAAGGCCTTTGTTATCAGAGTTATTAAAAATGAAATATTACCATACAAGTGAAGTCCCTGTTCCAAATATATCAGAACAAAGCATTTTCCACAGCCCAACAGAATGAACCATTGCAACAGTGTTGACACTATGGTGGAAGCAGAAACTCTACTAAACTTGATGTCTCAGTCTTTTTATAGTCCATACCAATCACACACTTTCAGTGGGGAAGACACTCCATAAAAATAAAACTCATCTGATTTGGGCAGTTTGTCCTACAGATAATAATAGTGCTTTGTTTCAGGCATCAAAGTTTTGATTTAATATCCTTCACTGTTTCTTATTGTTGAAAGGACAGAGTTACAGCCTGCAAAATGAGTTGGATCCTGTAATAGGTGTCTGAAATTAGGAAACTGTAAAAAGGGAATGGTCTGAAAGAGGACACCGTTGTGATACTAAGAAGAATTAACTCATGACAGAGCAGATGTGTTTATTAAGACTCTCTGTCAAGAGATAGCCTGTGGAAAATATATCCTATATTGAGCCTAAACTAAACTGTGGATTGATATAAAAGTATTACAAAGAGGCAGGAATACAGATATTAGCAAGTGTGGGTCAATATCTATAAAGAGCAGAATTGAAAAGAATTTGTGAGAATGAAAAAAATTGGAGAGAATCCAAGTTACGTCGAGATGTCTTAGGGACTAAGAGGAGAGCGATTACTCTAGGTGATTACACTAAAGAGGAGGTAGAAGGTTAATTGCCTGAGTTACATGGGGATATAGGCTTGGCTTCATGTTGAAAGGTTAGATCAGAGAGGGACAAGATGCTGAATTCTATGGAGATTGAAAGGATGAAGTCTTATTACACAATATGTTACCAAAGAATGTGTTTAAAAAAGAGAAAGTGCATTGGAATTTGCAGAAAAGGGAGAATAAAAGACTAAATTATAGTGGGAAAAGAAGAAAATGCTGCTAGTAGACCTTTTACTGCATCTCTAAATTGAGATTAGCTCTGAAGATACATAGTAATGTAAAATAATCAATATTTTAAATAAATTAGTTGTACTGAAAAAGAAATATATACACGTAATATAAAAATTCAAACAATACAGAAGTACAGTCAATGAAAAAGTTTCCTAACTATACTATACTCCCAGTTTCCCTTCCTAGGGACAATTAATACTATGGATTTATTATATATCATTCCAGAAATAAGCTATGCATATATCTGTATACATATGCCTGCACTCTGTTTGTCTTGAAAACACCGAAAGTAGCATACTATATATACCGTCTTGACCTTGCTTTTTTTTTAACACCTCACAAAGTGATAGCCCCCCTCCCCCAATCTATTGCCCCTCTGACATCATATATATCTATTACAATTCCATTATACTATTCCCTATACTATTCTCCATATCCTGTGACTATATATATATAAAATTATATATATATATAATTTAATATATATATAATTAAATTATATATAATTTAATATATATATAATATATATATTTAATATATATAATATATATATAATATATATATATAATATATATATATATATTAAATTATAGCTGACATACAATATTATTCAATGACCTTGCTTTTTTAATTTAGAATTTCTTACAGATCATTCCTTTTCAATTCATAGAGAGCCATCTCATGCTTTTTCACAGCTGCATGTATTACATTATATGTGTAGGTACCATAATCTATCTGGTCATTTTCCTACTAACAGACAATTTATAAATAATGCTATGATAAAAATCCCTGTATACACACTATTTTGTACATGTGTGAGTATTTATAAGGGAATAATTCCTAGTAGTTAAATTGCTGGGTGAAAGACTACATGCATTTATAATTCTGACAGAATTTACTAAAACTACCCTCACAAGAAACTGTACTAGTTTATATTACTTGAATGAGGACTATAGTATTGTTAGACTGACATTATAAAAGAAACATATTTAAAAAGAACATATGGGGTGGAAGGGTGAGGTAAGAGAGGAGGGAAGAACGGGAGACAAAAAGAGAGCTGGCTTACCTTCCAAAGTCACAGAGTTTTAAGACAGCTGTATCAGGGTCCAACAAGAGGTTCTGTGGTTTAATATCCCGATGGCAGATTCCAAAGGAATGAATATAGGCTAAACTTCGGAACAGCTGATACATATATAACTGGAATAAATAGTAAAAATTAATTGAATAGTTTCTATCCCAAACAAATCAGAATCCTTAAGCAGTAAATAAAGTAACAGATTTTCAGAACAAAACAGGTGTACTGCTGGGGATTATTAGCACTCAGTCTTCCTGTAACAAGTTTCATGTTATTTCTATATCAATTAACTAAAGTTTCATTAACTACATGTTCTATTTGCACCATCCTTTAATAACTTAAAAAGGGAGATTTTACAATATGCCTTGTAATTTTTTATTTTACTTACATCTCACAACAAGCCTATGATGGGGTGGTTTTTTTTTTCAAACAGAAAAAACGCTGAGAGAGGTATTCCAAAAGCATGTGACTAATAAGTAGCAAAGTTTAGAGCAAAAGCCATCTTCTGTTTTTTGAATTCATCATTCTTTAAAAGTATTTGCAGTTACATCTTTAGAATAATAATTCTGAGATGTCAGCCCCAGAGGTTACTGATACAGAGGCCTGGAAAAATTCACATGTGAATTGAGAAAAATCTATAATTAATAATTTATCACAACATCAGCAACCCTGTAAAGAGCATCACTATACTTCCTATTAATATCCTCCAAAAATAAGTAGACTTTAAAATGCTATTTAAAAACAGATCCTAGCTGACTACTGACATCAACTTAAAAGAATATTTATTTCAATTTTATTAGGAAAAAAAAACACTGAGAAACTGGGTCTGCATGGAAGAATCAGACTCTCGACTGGGGAAAAGAGGGACTTTATGAAGAAAGTGAGTCCAGTTCACCCTTGAACAACACAGGTTTGAACTGTATGGGTCCACTTATATGTGGATTTTTTTCAACAACCACGTATATTGGAAAAATTTTCGGAGAGTTCCTTACTACCGTGAAATAATCACATATTGATTACTCTAGGCCACCATAAAGCTATCATATTGCTGCATCTTTGTTATCAATGCATGAATTATTACACCTGTATATAAATGAATTTTTCATATCTTTTCATTTTTGATGTCTAGTTAGTAATATCTATACTAGCTACAGTGTTTTGTATCATACAAGACAATGCTGATGTAGGTACTGAAAGACAGACAATCTATTTTGTAAACAGATGACAAAATCTGACTGTAGAGTATCAATAAATACAGTATAGTATTGTAAATGTATTTTCTTATGATTTTCTTAGTATTTTCTTTTCTCTAGCTTACTTTATTATAAGAATACAGCATATAATATATATAACATACAAAACATGTGTTAATTGATCATTTATGTTATCAGCAAGGCTTCCTGTCAACAGTAGGCTATTAGTAGTTAAGTTTTAGGGGAGTGAAAAGTTATAGGGCAATATCTGACTGTGAGTGTATATGGTGGGGGTCAGAGCCCTTAATCCACTGTGTTAAAGGGTCAACCTCCTGTTTATCCCAAGGTCAGTGTTCTGGTTCACTTTTAAATTTTTCTGACTACTCACCTTTTGACCTCTACCCCAAAGTTATATGCCATGTAAAAATTTTTTTACATGATTCAAACCAAAGATACCAGTGTTTTGATAAAAAACAACAAAAAAGACATTAAAGGTCAGATAAAGCACTGACATAAGGCACCATATTTAGAGGTTACTGTTAAGACTTAGTTAATTAAAGTTAACATGGGACCTACTTTCCTTCAAATGGGCATAATGAAAACTGCAGACAGCTGAATTTCAGTACATGCTTGCTATACTGAACTAAAGATGGAAAAGTCTAAGCCCTCTTTAAAATGGAGCATGAAGTAAAATGTACATATAAGATCTCCAATTAGGTCAGCATTTTGCCACCAAAGTTAGAATTAAGGAATTTACATAAATTTGAAAAGCTTTATTGCTCTATTATTGTACATCATTGCTCACGGAATTAATCTACAAGTCCTAAAGCTTATCTCAGAGTTCTAAGAGTTTAAATTCACTACTGCTAAGAAAATAAAAGTTTCCATAAGAAATTGAACTCATAGACATTAACTTACTAAAGGAGAGACTTTATTAACTCTATATCAGGGCACTAATGTCTAGGTCAGCAAAAATTAGTGGGGGGAAAAATGCTTTCTTTGTAAAAAATGCTTCAGAGTTTAAATAAAGTTAAGGTGTCCTTTAACTCTATTATTAATTCATCTGAAAGATCTACTCTATCTCCATTCTCTTCACTTTGTTTTTTAAAAAGTCAAGATAAAGAATGAAATAAGCAATTTTATATCTTTTGTTGCTGTTGTTTGACTCTGTAAAAGTATATTTATAGGATAACTGAGGCTTACTACACTAGAAAGACAGCATTAACGAGAAAAACAACTGATTGTGTGTCAGGCACTAGTCTAAGTACTTTGCATGTATTACTTCATTTAACCTGTATGTAATAGGCACCATTATTATTTCTATTTTACATATAAAGTAACTGAGACACAGAGGTTAGGCAATTTGTCCAATATCACATACTTAATATTCTGTAGAGGCTTGGGTAAGTATTACTCTTTCAATTACTATTTCTTTATTTTGCCATATTCTTATTCCATTAACTAAATGTGCAAAACTGTAATTGTTAAATAGCTTGATCACTATGTAAAAGGCTAGAATGATAAACACTTAGAAACTTAGAGGTATTTAACACATGCTTAAATTCGAGCTTTATTTAACATATATTGTCAAACCAAATGTGTTTCCTCCAGTTGTTTGTTTAATTTTTGCAATTAGTCTGTGAGATACACACTTATCCTAATTTTTACAGGAGAGGTCACTGAAGCCTAATTAACAGTTTGAAAGCAATCTGAACCCATTACAAAGTTATTAAATCTAACTAAGTCTAATGTCCTCTCCTCTGTGCTACTAAACCTGTTTAAAACAAATAGTGGAATAACAATTTTATTCATGAGCCCAAAAATGCATCCAGCTCCCTTGTGAACCCAGACCCTGTCCTTAAACGTAGTTTTCCAATTAAAAAAAAATTCAAGTTTACAATGATGATTGCCAACCATCTGTTTTAGAGTTGTGTTTTAAAATCCACTTAAATTATTTAAAAAACCCTCATCAGAAAAGAAAAGGTGCTCAAACACTTTACATACATATTAACTATCATCAACTACAAAGTGACCAGTACTATAAAAGTGGTGAAGAAAGAGGTCTGAAGCAATAAGATCATAGAAATACTCAACTCCCCCAGAAAAAGGGCAAGTCAAAAAAAAATCCATAAAGAATTGCAGCTGCCTGCCATTTTGGTAACGTGTGCGAAACACGTTCTTATTAGGTGAAGTCTGTGAAGGCAAAAGTTATATGTGTTTATCACTTTATTTCTATCTCCCAATCCAAGATTTTTCACACACAAAAATACTTTTCATAAAACTATGTAAAACGAATAAGTGAATGGGGTCAACTTATCAATTCCAGACAATGTTTTTATCTTTTCAGGCCCTTAAAGATAAGAATAGATTTGTGTTCTCAAAGAATAATGTCGACAGCCAATAGCTTTGACTCTGGAAGGACTGTGGTTATATAAAAGGACCATTCTTTTTTCCAAAGTGGGAAAAGGGAGTGCTAGATCTCTCTTTGTGTGCCAACTTCAATGTGAATATTTTTTAAAAATATAGATGCCAGAAATCTCATCCAAATACATGTCAAAATACAGACAGAGATATACACAAGGCTCTTCACTACATTATTTGTAATAGTGAAAAACCAAAACAACGGAAAAACAATGTCCATTAATAGGTGGCCGACTGAGTAAATTAGGATACAGTCATGCAACAGACTAATATGCAGCTGTATAAAGAAAGGCAAAATAGCTATTTCTATCTACCTACCTACCTATAATACACAGTGATCTCCAGAATATATTTTTAATTAAGAAAGTAAGGTATGTATATGTATAAATTATGTAACCATTTACATTAAAAAGAGATGGGTGGTAAAATAATTATACACATTTGCTTATTTATAAAATGGTAGGATAAACTATTAAGAAGTTTAAATATTTAACTCTGGGAGAGAGAAGGAATAGGGTAGAGGAAATAGGGGTGAAAGCTAAATTTATTTAACTGTATATACCTTATTTGGTAATTTTACTTTGAAACTGTAATTATTTTCTTTTAATGCAAAATTTAAATTAAAATTAACTCAAAAGATTTTAAAATACAATCTATAATAAAGGCAAAATGAAACAAACAAAGGTTAATGAGCATAATCACACAGATAAGAATTATTCAATATTTCTTTAAAGTAGAGATATTTGACTATTCATACCTAATGGGATATACCGTGGGAATACAAAGAGCTGCAAAAAGCTCTTCATTTATTTTCAGCTGGTGTTGGTAGTATTAGTATTGTTATCCTAAGACCATTATACAAAGCGTATGGGATATTGGGTTGTCAGAAAAGTCATGACGTATTTTTTCTATGTTTTTCATTGCAAAAATGCGTCATGACTTTTCCGACAACCCAATAGAAAAAGTAATTAATTATACAGTCATTGAAAAATGAAATTTTTAGTGTTAAGAGGAAGGAAATAAAGATGGAAGACTGTTAAGTCCTCCAATATTTAATTGGAAATATCAGTATGATCTCATATTATATTTAACTTTGGTATTAAAAAAAGATGCATTTTACCTTTGAAAAAATTATTTGCATATTTCCTAGCTCTGACCACTAAAAAGACCTAAAAACAATAATCAACCCTGTGGCAATTAGCACCCTTAACCTCCAGACTGTAGTCTCTAAGTATCATTTCCCAATAAAAGAATAAGCTTTTCCTTGAAGAAAAGGCTCATTCCAAGTCTGCGGAAGAAATGTACAAGATGAACCCTAGAACACTGTCATGTGTGCTAAAAAGCAAGGAAGCTATCAAAGATTATTAAGAAGCATACAAGAAGCTTTGAAACAAACACAAAACAACAACAAAAAATATATCACTGGTCACCTTTGGAGGATGATATGAAACCAACTATTATAAATTTTGGTAAATACAGAGAAATAATCAAATATATACCCTGTCTTTCTTACATAAACTGTACCTCAGAATAATCAAATAGATGACATGGGAAAGTTTCTATTGATGGAACTATTGTGGCTTATAAATTAAGAAGGAATAATATTAAAATATCAACATTTTGTAACCTCTGACGAATTAATGGATTTATAGGCAATAATCATCAATGGCTACAAGCATCACAAAAGAAAGTTATTGTCTTCTTCCTTATGAAAAACTATACATGAAGTAGTCTTGATTCCTACAAAAATTTATCTAATCACCAACTTACGGAAATACAGAAGACAGTAATACACTACATTACAGTAATCCCATCAGCAAAATCCAGACCAAGAAACTGTAGGTCAATGACCCAGTTTCTTTAAAAATAAGGAGAGAGCGAGAAAGCGAGAGACAGACAGACAGAGAGACAGAGAGAGGGGGGGAGATTAGAGATTAAAAGAAACATTAGACACATCAGCCAATTGTAATATATGGACCTTACTTGGATCCTGATTCTAACAAAGAAATTTTAAAAGTATGTATAAGACATAATGGAAATATAAACAGTAACTGAATATTTAATCAAAATTATGCTGGATAAATTCCTAGCCACTCTGTCATGAGTTCTATCAAATAAACAAGATGGCACTGATATTAGGTACCAAAAAATTAAATAACACCTTGGTAGTCTATGCCTATTTAAAATCATCAAATTTTAAACTTCAGCTGCAGACACAAAGTATCTACAAATGGCAATAAAACATTGAATTTGATCATACTTATAACTATATTTTATAATTTTATATGATATGCTTGCTCTTATTTGTGTCTGTGGCACAACAAGGGTATCAGACATTAATAAAAAGGTGCTATGGCTAGTAAAATTAAAGCCCATAATTATCTGAAAAAATTCACTTGTTAGAAAAGTGACAAGTATCTTTAATACCTGAGGCATGAAACTTTAAAAGGTGAAGGCTTCACACTTTAAAACTGTACAAGAATTTAATGAAGCTCTAGCAATGGCTACTTTGCAGCTTTTCTCCCTCAGTATCAGATATGATAATATAGTCAAAACACACCCAGCCTCCTCCCTAGCTCATGATAAGTGCTTTCTAAAATGGGACATTGTTCCACTTTTACATACCTTGACATAGATCACAGGGAGCGTCTGTTTGGCTCGACTATAGTGTCTGGCAACTCTGTATACTGTTTCCGGAACATAATCCAGCACCAGATTAAGATAGACCTCATCTTTCTGAAAAAGTTCATTAAAAACAAATAAACAAACAAAAAAAAGGTTAGAAACCAGTCTTTAAATATTCAAATTAGAGTAAATGTTCTATACATTCACTTATTCCAATTTAATAAAAGATTCATGTGTTCAACTTTAATTATACAAAATTAATTCAGAATATAACCAGTAACAGTAAAAACAATCTACCACAGCTTTTTATTAATAATTTCATGGAAAAAAACACAGCCACTTCAATGTTGTTAAGATTCTTAATCATATTTACACTATTACTTAGGTTATATGATTTTCAAGGATATCACCTGTCACAAAATTTCATATTTTATAGTTTGAAAATCAATGCCCTCATATCCTATCAGAAAAGGTGTTATGGTAGTAAAGTGAGTACTGAATTGAGAGCTAAAAATGTGTTTTTCCAGCCCTGGCTCTGCTGCTAACTGATGTGAAAAGTTGGACTAGACAGTCTTCAAAATTTCTCTCACCTATACAAAAAGATTCTATGTTATCTGATAGTCTATACTTACTAGAACAACCACTTGTCTTCTACAATTAACTGAAAGAAAAAGAATAACTTATAAGGCAGCAAGTTACCATACTCACAAGTTTATTGCAGGTCACATGTTTAAACATCCATTCTCAGCAGCATAAAGACACCAATCCAAGATCAATGGAGAGAAAGAAGGAATTCCAACTAAGTACCAAGTAGGAAAGAGAAACAGAGCACTACCCTTACCCTGAACATGTGAATATCAGATAAGTAAACTGAAGGAGAAAACAAAGTTGAGAAACACTGTGTTCAAGTCTAGAATTGGCTACTGAGTGAGGAAATCTGCAGGTAAACAAACTTTCACAATCTTTCTAATTTGAAATCATCTTACCTACCAAACTTAAGTGAAGAATTTCAATTTTCAGCATTTATTGAGCATTTTCTATATATCAGTAGCCACTGCAGAGGAAGTAAGGGTACAGGTATAAAAGAGATGACATCTAAACTGAGTATGAAGGGAGCATTTCATGCAAAGAGAAAACCATCTTCAAGATGTGGGCTCAAAGATTACAGCAGAGTTCAGAAGAGTCTAGGGAGACAGCATGTCACTTACCCTACTACCTTTTCACTGTCTCTCACGCTTTCATGTTCTCTTCTCTTCCGTCCATATCCAGCTTAAATTCCATATTCTATCATTACCTTCACTCTCTAACATGGGGGTCAGTAAAGAACAGCAAAGGCGTGCTGCCTGCTTTTATAAATCAAGTTCTATAGGAACACAGTGATGCTCATTCACTTAAGTATTGTCTATGGCTACTCTTGGGGCTACAATTGCAAGAACTGAGTCGTTGTGACAAAGACCATATAGCCTGCAAAACCAAAAATATTTACTTTATGAAAAAGTTTGCCAAGTCTACTCTAGTACACACACACACACACACACACACACACACACACACACACATATATATATACCCTTCTCTTACGTCATATATTTTTGATAAACCACAAGCCTGGGTAAGTCCAGCTTTCCACCCATTCCATGCCTGTACCCAAGAGATGAACATGGCTGCAAACCTAAAATTGTGTTGATTGCTCTCACATTAAATTCATCTTCAAGTAATTTAATCAGCCAACAATCATATTACATTTGGTATTCACCTTTCCAAGCTACTTGATTTCTCCTCTCCTTCTCTTCAATCTCCAATACTTCTTTGTCCATTCTCACCCTCATCTGATGACCTGGCTAGCACCACTGCATGTACCTATCTACGATCATCTATCCCCATGTGCTCGTCCTTCACTTTTCTAGAGAGAAGCCAGCTCCTTTCTAACGCAAAACCTACTACTTGTAAAAAAAGATATTGTTTTTCCTATTCACAGTCATTGCTTCAGTAATTTTCCTGTCTTTCTCCATCAATTGTTCTCTCTCTGTTGGGAGCATTACAATCAATACACAAACTTGCTGTTATTTCTCCCATTGTTTTAAAAAAAACTCTGACTGCACTAATTCCCACCATATTTTCTGGTCTCCTTTAAGAGCAAAATTCCTGAAAAGAGGTGTCCACACTGACATTCTCCAATACCTGTCTCATCTTATTTTCCAAAACTTACTCCAGTAGAATTTGACCACCACCACTCCACCAGAATTGTTCATCAAGATCCATAATCTCCTTGTTGCTGAATCCAATGCCCATTTTTAGTCATCTTACTTCTCCCTTCTACTTGGCTTAGCACTGCCATTTGACATAGTTGATCATGTTCTCTTCTGTGAAATAACCTGCTTCACTTGGGTTCTAGAACACTGTACTCTTCTGGTTTTCATTCTACCTTAAAGACAACTCTTCTTGCTCTCCTATTCTGGTTCCTTCTGTTCTTTATCACCGAAGTAAATGGAGGATCCCAGTTATCAGATCTCTGTTCTTTACATTTGTTCATTCCATTGATGATCTCATCCAGTTTAATGGCTCAATACTACTATACATTGATGACTCCCAAATTCACATACGAGCCTGGACCTCTACCTTTAACTCCAGACTAATATATCCAACAGTCTACTTGATACTGCTTAGGTTAAAAATCTTAGCATCATATTGGGTCGTCGGGAAAGTCATGATGTATTTTTCTATGTTTTTCAATGCAAAAATGCGTCATGATTTGCCCGACGACCCAATAATTAATTCCCCACTCCCCTCTTTTTCTCACTCACATACACACATTCCCCATATCTATATCTATATCTGTATACAACAACTAATTTCAGGGGCAAAAAAGACAGGACCGAAAAAGTTGTTAGATCTGGTTATCATGGTTCATCAGATGACACGTGAGAAACAGGAGGCAGTTAATTTAGTTTGTTCTTACAAAATCCCTGTGTTGAAAGTAAGGCGAGAGCTGGGAGCTGGTATCTTGAGGAGAAGCAGTCAACAAAAAATTGTTGATGTGCTTTTTGTTTTTTTTAAGATTTTATTGGGAAATCGTGGGGAGGGGAACAGCATTGGGGAATCGGGGAAGGGGAACAGACAAGTTGGCTGTCGTTTTGTCCTTCATTCTAGTTGTGGAGGATGTTGCTTCACTGGCCCATGTTGGTATTATCATTGCGCTCTTCCTGTGTGAGGCAGTCGCTCGCTGTCCATTGGACGGCTGCTCACAGCAGCTCACGAAAGCTCATGCCAGCTGCCGGCCAGCCCCACTGCAGCCTACGCCGTCACCGGCGACTCATGGCAGCCCAGCTCCAGGTTGAGCTGTTGTTCACCATCTTAGCTATAGAGGGCGCAGCATCACTGGCCCTCATGTGGGATCCGAACCGGGGCCCTGCTACTCAGAGCTGGCGTCCCAAGCCAACTCTTAACCAACACGCCACTTGGCTGGCCCTGTTTGTATTTTTTAATGGCTAACAGACCAAACTTGCTTGTAGGCTGAATGGACAGAATAAAGTTATAAAAAAGGGATGAGTGATAAAGCAAGATTCTAGAACATCACAAGAAGAGGGCAACAAGAACACAGAGAAGTTATACAGTGTAGTACTTAGCGTGAGTGACACAAAACTACACAGAGTCCCAACTCTGCTACTGCAAGTTACATGGCCACGAGCAAGTTACTTACCCTCTCTAAGCCTGTTTCTTGTAAAACAGTGCTAATGATGGTATCTACTTTAAAAGACTGTCATAAATAAGAAACAATCCATATGAAGTTTTTTTTTGTTTGTTTGTTTTTTTTTAAGCTGAGCCATCCTGCTACCTGTTGGCAGCTCAGCGGCCATATGAAGTTCTTTAAGTACATTACCTGACACATAATAAAGGCTCAAATTTTAATTATTATCCTCTTTAAAAAGAAACAATACCACCTTTTTTTCCCTCTCTGTACATCTAAAATAAGTGATTAAGTGTTAGAGAGGATTATAAGTAAAATGTTCTATGTCCAATGACTCTATTTTTGGCAAAGATATGAGGTCATATGTAAAACCAAGGGTAGCAAGAGTAATGCCAAAGATTTCTGTTAAAATTTCAGAGCTTGAGATTTAGACAAGGATCAGTTCCAAGTGAAAGTGAAGCCAAAAAAGAGAATAAATAGAATACTAAACTAGTGTCAAAGGGATTGCTGTTAAGTAGAATTCAAAGAATGGTGAGTTTCAGGTTTTAGAAAGGTCATTAACACAGATGTCGAAGCTATCCATTTTTAACTATTATTTGATTACAAGATTTCTTGATTTTAATAAATCATTTGACAAAGTTAATCATGATATATTTATGAATGACCTGGAGATGTACATACAACTATAGTATAATTTAGTTTATTTGCTAAACAATCATAACAAAAGTGAAGAATAAAAAGATTTTTAAAATGAATGCCAGGCCGGCCCAGTGGCACGATGGTTAAGAACTGGCTTGGGACGCCAGAGGGCCCCGGTTCAGATCCCACATATGAGGGCCAGTGACACTGCCCTCCACAGCTAAGATGCTGAACAACAGCTCAACCTGGAGCTGGGCTGCCGTGAGTTGCCAGTGACGGCGTAGGCTGCAGCCCCTGTGGCAGTGGGTTGCCATGGGCTACCATGTGTAGCCAGCAGCCAGCGTGAGCGGCCAGCAGCCACAGTGAGCGGCAGTCCAGAAGCCGGCGACTGATCTGCCTCGCCCGGGAAGAGTGCAATGATGGTACCAACTTGGGCCAGTGAAGCAACATCCTCCACAACTAGACTGAAGAACAAAACGACAGCAACTTGTCTGTTCCCCTTCCCCCAATTAAAAAAAAAAACTAAAAAAAAAAAAAAAAAAGAATGCCAAGGTCAAAGAAGGTTTCTAGTTATAGGGCTACAAGCTCTGTCCTTCACTTGTCCCAATCACTATTGTCGTAAATGATTTCATTTATTAGGGGTTGCAAATGTAAATGCTTTCAATGGTTAAGCGACAAATGTAAAAGTGTAATGCAGTAAGGGGTAGTGGTTGGTATATCAGATAGTACAGGACTTAACTAAAAGCATTCTAATTCAAAAAAATATTAACAAATAAAGCATATC